CATGTTCTAGACATAGACCTGCAGGAGTTGCAAACTCATGAGATTCATTGTGCATAAAGCTTAATCTAAAAGGGGCTTCTAAGAAATTATGATTCTAATTAGGTTAAAGGGTTAAATAATTAAGATATTAGGGATTTAACCAATTATCATTTAGATGATGAATTGTTTGGTAACAATAGAGTTTGAACTTTATTGAATTAATTTAATTCACTTAAAGGGGATCAGAGGTGAAGTAAACCCTAACTATATTTTTATTCTTAATTTTGAAACTCATCTTTTTAATCAATTTCTTGATTTGCATTTTTACTTGATTTTTAATTAGATATTGAAAACTTGTTCAAACTACTTTTGAATTGTCTAACTTAGATAAAAGCGGTGAATTATTGCTTGAATTTAGTCCTCGTGGGAACGATACTCACTCATCACTTTATTTGGAAAAGACTGGTATATTTTTTGTGTTCGCAACATCTAACATAAGATTCTGCTATAATTGTACTCTATGATTCTGGGAGTATCCATTTTCATCTCCCTATCTTCTGCTCAAAAATTAATGTTATAAATTTTCATTCTACCTTCTCATCTTGATGTTTTTCTTCCTACTAGGAAAAAGATAACCACATTCCAAGTCTGTAAGAATTGTCATCTTCAAAGTGAAGGAAAGTTATTTGAGATAGATTTAGTTTATCTGCCTATGATTGACATAGATGTGTTTCTTGGCATGAATTAGTTAACTGTCAATTGTGTGGTTTTTAGGCAATTGAACAAAGTTATCCAGTTTTTTTTTTTTTAGAAAGTATGTCTAAATTTTGAGGACAAAAATTTATTTAGAATAAGAGAATTGTAACACCTTAAAAAACATATAAATAATAATAAAATAACAATAATATATTTGAAAATAGAATCTTTGAAAATAAAAATATCTTTGAAAAATGGCATCTTTGATCAAAGTAATCGTGAAACTTAATATTTTAATTTAAGTAATGATTAGTTTAGATTTTTATTGAAGTAATGATTAAATTTCTTAGAATTTTATAAAAGTAATGATTAGATTCTTTATATCTTTATATATAAAAAGGGCCACTTTAAAGTCTATACAAACCAACCTCCCTTAAGATACCCATGCATAAGAGAAAAAAGAGAGAAAGATATATGTAATATTAGGAGAGAACCTCATTCGCCTAGTTTCACTTTTCTTCATCTATTTCTTAAGTTGGTATTTCAGAAGTTATTTCTTAAAAAGTTGTGAAAGTGTCGTTATTAAGGCAAACAATTTTCTTACAGATTTCTTTAATTCTTTTATTTTAATTTCTATCTTTGATTTTATCTTCTATCTTCTTGTTTTTATCTTCTAAAACTTTGATTTTGTGGATTTAATGGATTTATTCATATCAGTTATAAGAATGATCTTGAATCAAGACTATAGAACTAAGGAATTCCTTTGGTACAAAATGAATATTAACGAAATATGTAATCTTAACTGAATGATTCTGAAGAGGAATTGCCCATGAAGGTTTGGGTTCAAACGACAATATGGTAAGAGACGCGCCTTACTTGGGTTGAGCTCCGTCAATCAAAGCCTTTCACATGCAGAAACCCACAAAGGTTTGGCCTTTAGTAGTTTCAGTTAAACATTACACGTTCTTTTCTATGTTTACTATTTCTATTATTATTTTCTTATTGTAAACATGTTTTGAGAAAATGATATTTTTCGTTAAAGCGGCTGGACTTGTTATAGTTTAAAAACTCCAATATTACTGAGATTTATCTCACGTGTGTTTATATTTATGCTAACCTTTTCAGAAAGTAAGCATGCCTAGAATGTATATCCTTGGAGTAGGATGAAGCACCATGATTAAAGATTTTTAAGACAATAAAAAAGTCAGAGTGATTTTGTGTACCCGTCGAATGACTTTAATTTTCTACCTCGATAGAGTAGAAATGTTTTCTTTCAGTTTAGATAGTGATGTAATCTAATATATTCCAGATGTACTAGTGAACTTGACTTATTGTTTAATGTATAATTAAATTTTAAGGGTGTTTTGACGTATGCCTTCTTTTATAACCATTGCTTTAGAATCTCAAATTCTTTATTATTTTATAATTCTTATTCTTTTATTTAAGATATAATTTAAGAAGTAATATGATATCCTCTATGCTAGCTAGTTATAAAGGATGTTACAGAACTCAAGCAAAAAAATTGTTCCAACAATAATTATACAAGAAACAAAGTCAATGCAATAAAAAGCAATTATAATATGGAAAACCTCCTCAGTATGAGGAGTAAAATCCATAGAACCATTTTTAAGTCAACTCAAGTTCTTCACTATAAACAACATTGAGAATCCAGGTTATCCAACAACATCTACAAACAACTAGAGCACCAAAAAACAACGTGAACACAAGTTGTACCAAAAGACAAGAGGTATTCACACAAACACAGCTTCTATTCGAAATTATTTTCTACCACAAGAAAAATGTCAATGTTGATACAAAATAACTTTGGTATCAAAAGTTTTGTACCTAATAACATTGTTTTCCTGTATGATTGTCTTTATGATAAACGATGTTGCTTTTTATCCCCTTTAATGAAGGTAACACTCCAAAAAAATTAAATAATATTGAAGTTGCTGATGACTAGCAAGTCTCAGAAAAATGATAAGCTTACTTTTTGAAATTGAAAGATTATGGTTCAAATAGAGGAATGAATTTCTTTGTTAAATATACAAAAATAAAATTTTGCACGAGGGAATGTATACCTGTTCGATCCTAGGAGTTCGATCATAGGAAATAGACCCGTCAACCAGCTTTCTCTATAAAGGATCAACTGAAAAACACACGGGAAGCAAAAGTCATTGGTTTTGTACATTTGTTAATGAAAACAAAGACAAACATAAACATCAGAAAGGACGTAGTTCTATATTTACGAGTCGTCCAAACTTTTTATAAAACATATCATTACCGACCCAAACAAAGTGACAATGATGTGTGAGTGGCCCACTTAAGAAACCAAATGACCATATGTTGCACCGACACCGACACAGAACACGAGATACAACACGATACTCCGACACATTAATTCTAAAAAATGTTAAATTTTGACACGTTAGGATACATTTTGATATTATATAATATTTTTAATTTATGTAGTGTATATTATATTTAATATTCAATAATTTAACAAAAAAGATAAAGCTAAACTTATAATACCCATCAATTTTGCAAAGGAACATAAGATATCCTAAATGTTTATATTAAACTCAATAAAATAGTAATAGTAATCCAACGAATCTAATAGTTGGAACTCAAAATGTAACGCAACATAACTTTTTTTGAGTTTTTGCAACGAGTATTGGAGTGTCAGGAAGTGTCGGAGTGTCGGTGAGTGTCGGACATGACACGTCAGGAATTTTGAAGTGTCGGTGCTGTTATGGACCCACATAAGGGGCTTATTGAATGACAGGCCCAATAACGGGCAATCCAAGATTTAGATCAAGTGTAATTATGGATAGTATCCATCAAGGATACTAATCCTAATACGACAGCGTAGCAGACAGACCTGGGCCCTCATCAGAGATTCTAAAGGTCCATATCATGTTACTCACAGGTAACCTCTATAAATAAAAGGTAAACTCTAAAGGTACGTTACGCTATCTCTCACACTTACTGTTATGTTGTCACTGTGCGCACACACACACCCTTTAGCAAAGTCGTTACTTGTTTACTATGCACAATGATTTGTTTGACTCAAGGGTATCTCCTTTATAGATACCTTGAAGAGGGCACTAGATCCAAGATCAATATACCAGTCCATTGGACTGGAAATCTCTATCTCCTAGACAGAACATTGTTGTTGTCTATGGGGATTCATCTTTGAATTTGATATTCTCACAATCCTGAACGAAGATGGCAGTCCATACAATGAGTAATAGCCAACAGCCACACCCTCAGAATCATCTGCTGGATCCAGTATTGGAAGAGGTGAATCGACCTCAAAACCAGCCTGAGAATGAGGTGGATTAGGATCATGTTCATGTCAGTGAGGATGTATCAGATACAGCCTCCACCCCAGCACCCCGCGATCGAGTTGCAGCTCCAGCTCTAAATAATCCCCTCTAACATCCTGGGGATATTGCTGCTCGCGTTGCCCAATCTGCAGATCCTGATTCTAGACTTACCCAAAATGCGGTCGCCGTAATTTTACGGAGAATGAAGGAGATAGAGAATCATAATAACCTCCATTGGCAAGATTTCCAGAGGATGCAGGAAGAAAATACTAGGAGAATACAGGGTTTGGAACAACGCTTAATGGGGATGACAGGGCTTGGAGTGAGAAACAACCAAGGCCGAGATGCTAATGGCCGAGAAGGAAACCACAACCCGGATCATCAAAATCGGGTTACTGAGGTAGAAAACCAAGGAATGCCCAATCCTGGGATTACATCGGGTACGAACCCGAGAAACAATGTAAGGCCCAATCTTGGGAGTACGTTGGGTCCAAACCCAGAGAACATCGGAATGGGTGAACAGAATGCCAATGCGCAAACTTTGACCCAGAATGCTTCGACAGGAGAAAACGGGCAGAGAAACTGGGATGATACACATCCAAACTGAGATGCCCAAACCATCAGAGGACACGTGGAACCCGGTGGTTACAAGAGGAAGTACAGTAGGGGGCAGTACAATAACAGCCCCTTTACTGGTGAAATATTGAATGCTCCTTTCCCGAAAGATTTCGATTCGGCACGCTTGCCGAAATATTATGAAAGTCAGGACCCATATGTCCACATAGATGCATTTGATACAGACATGTATATCCGAGGAATTGATGAGCCCCTCATATATCAGATATTCGCCATAACTCTGACTGGGGCAGCACAGGCATGTTTCTCAACCCTACCTGCCAACTCTATTAGTTCCTTCGAGGAATTCGGAGAGAAATTTCTGCTGAATTTTGCACCAAGCAAAAAACACCCAAAGTCTGAGTTCGCCCTAGGAAAGATATGACAGCAACCCGAAAAACTCTCCAGAGGTATCTTAACAGGTTTAAAGATGCTGCCTTGCAGGTGCCGGGTTTACAAGAGAATGTCCACGTCCACCTCATTGTGGTTGGCCTGGATGGATCATCTAGACTAGCCAAGTCGGTCTACAAAGACCCTGTGAGGACGTTGGAGGAGTTCAGAACTCGTTCCAAGAAATACTTGGAACTCGAACGAATGGAGATAGCAAATGCGCTATCAGAGCAAGGTAAAAGAGCAAGCCCAAGAAGAAGGAGTCTGGCCCCAAGAGAAAAGGAACGACCTGGTAATAAAAAGAAAGATTCCAGAAGCAGGATCCTGGATGATAGAGACCGGGTTGGAATATATGAGAAGTATACACCGTTGAATGCCTCACGCTCTCAAATTTGGAGGGAAGTGGCAATGACGGAGATGAAGAAAGTATATAGACCTCGGCCCATATTTGATAGAGGAGATTTGGATAAGTCCAAGTACTGCGTCTTCCATGATGGACCGGGTCACAACACTGATCAATGCTAGAGAGGGGAAACTACGCCAGTATATGATCAAAACTACGCTAGTATGTGATCAAAACTACGCCAGTATGTGATCAAAACTCAGGGTGCCAAAAACAACAAAAGAAAGTCTGGAAATCGGAAGAAGAGCAAGAGTCTGGTCCATGAGAAGAAAAAGAAAGAGGAAAGGAACCAGAAAGATTATTCCAATAACGATGAATTCCCGGAAGCCGAATTCGATTGTAATATGATCAATGGAGCTCTGGGAGGAGGAGGAGACATTGTAAGTGCTAGGCGAAAGTACCTAAAAGAAGTGTTATCGATCCGGGATCATCCTAAATTTAAGGAGGACCCCAGTAAACCAGGCCCTCCTCTGCTCTGTTTCACAAAGGAATATATGCAAGGTGTTTTGCCAGGGCATTTAGATGGGTTGGTCGTCATCGGAACCCTGGTGAATTACCGGGTTAAAAAGATCTTCATAGATGTTGGAAGCAGTGCCGACATTATACTATGGGGTGCCTTCAAAAAGATGAACCTTGATAAGGACGACCTCAAATCTTGCAAGACAACCTTGATAGCTTTTAATGGAGAAAACACACCTCCTAAAGGCTATATTGATCTTAGGTTGACCCTGGGAACGAAGGAAGCTTTCAAATCAGAACGAGTGAGATTCATAGTCGCTGACTTTCCGTCAGAAAGCAATATCATTCTAGGGAGACCAACCATACACAAATGGGACATGCTGGTATCCACAAAGCATCAAAAGATAAAGATGGTAAGCAGCAAGAATGAAATCATTACCATCAGTGGCGATAAAAAAGAATCCAGAAAATGCTACTTTGAAACAGTCAAAAGGAATGAAGGTGGACATTTGAGTCCACCCCAGATACGTCTAGGGGATAAAGCCGGCAAGAAGGAAATTCCTCATCATTCAGGAAAACTCGTCAATGTGGTTGAGCTGGATATGAGAAAAGAAGCAATCCCCATGCCAGAATCATATGGGGAATTGGAAGACCTTGTTTTGGGAAAAGAACCTGGTCAATTTACCCGTATTGGTAAGATCATAGATCCCCACATCAAGGAAGAATTAGCCGGGTTTCTCAAATGCAACACGGATGTCTTTGCGTGGAAGTCATCCGAGATTCCCGGCATAGATCCAACCTTTTGCTGCCACAAGTTGGCGGTTTACCCTGGATCAACACCAGTTTCGCAGAAGAAAAGGAAGTTGGGGCCAGAAAGAAAATAAGTTCTGGAGGAACACATGAAGGAGTTGCTGGATGCCGGATTTATTCGTGAGATACAATATACGAATTGGCTTGCCAACGTTGTTATGGTGAAAAAAATCAACAGAAAATGGAGAGTCTGCACTAATTACACGGATCTGAATAAAGTGTGCCCGAAAGATTCTTACCCTATGCCCAACATAGATCAGCTAGTAGATAACTCAGCTGGATTCCAACTGCTATCCTTCATGGATGCATATTCGGGTTATAACCAGATCCCGATATATCCTGAAGATCAAGAGAAAACTGCCTTTATTGCTGAAAAGACCAATTACTGTTATAATGTAATGCCTTTTGGGCTCGAAAACTCTGGAGCAACGTACCAGAGGATGATGAACAAGGTGTTTGAGGATCAACTAGGCAAGAACGTAGAAGTATACATTGATGATATGATCGTTAAGTCATTTGACTTGACAAACCATGTCCGAGATCTGGAGCAGACATTCCAAAAGCTTAGGAAATACCGCATTCGACAGAACCCGGTAAAATGCGCGTTTGGAGTCTTGGCAGGGAAATTTTTGGGTTTCATGTTAACCTATAGAGGAATCAAAGCGAACCCTGACAAGTACAAAGTAGTGCTTGATATGAAAGCTCCTCAAATCAAGAAGGAGGTTCAGCAACTGATTGGTAGGCTGGCTGCACTAACCCAGTTCTTACCCAAGTCAGCTGAAAATGCCCTCCCATTCTTCAAATTATTAAAGAAATAAGTTATGCAGGGTTGGAACCCGGAATGTCAATCCGTGTTCAACAAGGTTAAAAAATGTTTGGCAACCCCACCAGTACTATCTAAGCCAGAACCAGAAGATACTCTAATCATGTACTTGGCTGTGGGGGAAGAAGCAATAAGTGTTGTTCTGATTAAGGAAACGAGCTAAGGTCAGGAGCCAATTTACTTTATCAGTAGGGCCTTGCAAGGTCCTGAGTTGAGATACCAAAGGCTGAAAAAAGTAGCTTTTGCCTTGCTGATTACGGCGAGGAGATTGCGGCCATACTTTCAGGGACACCAGATAGTAGTTCGCACTAATCAACCTATATGGCAGGTATTGCATAAACTGGATCTGGCAGGAAGAATAACTAACTGGGAAATTGAGCTCTCTGAATACGACATTACTTATGAAAGTCGGAAGGCTATCAAATCATAAGCTTTGATCGATTTCATAATGGAGCTCACCCCAGTCAGCCCAGACATGGGCGAAGCTGAAGATACTTGGAGGGTATATGTAGATGGATCCTCTAATGATAAAGGAAGTGGTGCTGGGATCATACTTGAAAGTTCAGAAGGGGTGGCAATAGAACACTCCTTGAACCTGGGTTTCCCAACTTCCAACAATCAAGCAGAATATGAAGCCCTAATAGCCGGATTGATGCAGGTTAAGGAACATGGGGCTAAAAGGATTAAAGTCTTCAGTGACTCCCAATTGATGACTTTTCAGATAGAAGGAAAATATCAGGCCAAAGGCCCTCTGCTGATGAAATACCTAACCAAGGTCCGAGAAATGATGGCCGAGTTTGAAGAGGTAAAAGTCACTCATATTCCTCGAGGGAAAAACAGCCGAGCTGAGATCTTGTCTAAATTGGCAAGTACAAAAAACTCAGGAAACTACAGGACCGTGGTACAGCAGAGCAGAACACAGTCGAGTTGCGTAATGATAATAAGCTCGGAAAATGACTGGAGGCAACCTATAGTGGAAGCTGATAATACCTTGAGAAAGGGACATTGCTTGAGGAACCATTAGAGTCCAGGAAGTTGATCCGAGATGCAACCCAACATGCAATAGAGGAAGATTAGTTGTATAGAAAGTGGTTACACATTTCTATGCTGAAATGCTTGAACTCAGAAGAAGCATAATATATGTTGGCCGAGATACACGAAGGAATCAATGGCCAACACATGGGGGTAGGCCTTTGGCTAGAAAGACCCTCTGAGCTGGCTATTACTGGCCGATTATGGAAGCAGATTCCAAAGAACATGTCAAAATATGCGACAGTTGTCAGAAGCATGCCAGACTGATTCTTTCACCACCAGAAGAATTGAAATACATCTCGGCTCAATGGCCCTTTTTCAAATGGGGGGTGGATTTGTTGGGACCCTTCAAAGCTGCGGAAGGACAGTTGAAGTGGCTAATTATAGCTGTAGACTACTTCACCAAGTGGATATAAGCAGAACCGGTTACCACAATAGCCTCGACCAGGGTACAAAGGTTCTTTGAAAGGAACATCGTCTCCAGTTTGGAATACCAGTCGAGGTAGTGACTGATAATAGAACACAGTTTGCTGATAAACGGTTCCAGGAGTTGATGAAAGACTTGAAGGTCAAACACCGTTTCACATCTGTGGAACACCCACAGTCAAATGGAAAAGCTGAAGCTGCAAACAAGGTAATTGTTGACGAGCTCAAGAAATGAATGAAGGATGCCAAAGAAAGCTGGGTCCATCAATTATACTTTGTTTTGTGGGCATATCGAACGAGTACCCAGACAGCAACGGGGGGAACCCCTTTCAGATTGACATATGGATGTGAAGCCATGATTCCGGTGGAGATTGGAGAACGCTCTTGGAAAAGAATGAATGATATTAAGCAGAATGAACAAGAAAATAGTAAACTGCTCACTTCTGAGTTAGATCTCATTGATGAAGCCAGGGTCACAGCCCACTGCCGGGATATGATGGCCAAACAACTGATAGCAGCTAGATACAACAAAAAAGTGAGACCAAGAGTCTTTGAGAAAAATGACTTGGTACTCAGGAGAGCAGATATTGGCAATAAGAATGCCATAGATGGGAAGCTAGCTGCAAACTGGGAAGGTCCTTACCGAGTTAAAGAAAAGCTTGGAAGAGGAGCCTATGTCCTGGAAACAACAGAAGGCAAAAGAATCAAGCGAACCTGGAACGCGAATAAGCTGAAAGTATATTACAGCTAAATCCGGGATCCACCTTCTGAAGATTTGAAATATTTCAATTTATTTGAAGTTTTTTCTAGGCAAATTATTTTCTTTTTTAGGGACTTGACTAAAGCCAAATATCCAGCAAATTCATGTAATCGACGAATTTGATATCAATAAATGAGAAATTTTTCTTTTTTAAGATTTATTCTTATTCAATTTTAATGCATCAATACACGTTCTAAGGTGCAATTGCAATTTATCATACTGACTCTGATCAAGTCAAAATGCTCCTTACCTCGATCAAAAGACCTAAGGGGGACAAATGATAATGCTGCCTTTACCTTGGATAAAGCTGGATTACGAAATTTGAGTTAGGATGAAACGGTTAAGTCAATAAAGACAATTACCATCATCAATGCAGGCTTGCTAAAATGCTTAAGTCAAAATAAACATGCGCCATAGAAAATGACAGAAAACGGAATCCGTATAATGCTTTTTGACCTCAGCCAGGTCAATGTACAAGCACTCGTAAAATGCACGAGTCGCAAAAATAAAACTATATTCGAGTTGTTAAGAATAACCCATGTCGGACGGGGAGCAACACGAATAGGGTTTAAGAAAACTTGGAAAATTTTCTAAGTTATAAAAGGAGATAATGGATAAACAGAGGCTTTTCTCTTTTTGCCAGTCAAGTCGACAACAATTTCCTTTTTGCCTCGGCCCAGAGCCGACAGCCAGCTTGGTTGGTCATCCTGCTGGTCCTGCTGTTGGTCTTGCTGCTAGTTTTCCATACCGGAAACTGCAAAATCAAAAACAATAAAGATAGTCATGAGATGCAGTATAACAAATATGCATATAAGTACAAATATGCATATAAATATAAAAACAAGCCATACTTATTTCAGCATCAAGTTCTTCTTGGGACTTGTAAAGAAGAGATGCAACGCTAACATGAGTACGCGAACCGTTATACGCACGCATGGCAATGACACTATTGACTTCAGCGGGGTTCAATTCGGACTCTTTAAAACAATAACTTGAAGAAGAGAATTGGTAATGGTCAGATGACCAGTAAAGGGGAAACTTTCCCTCCACATCCTCAGAATCACAACCATCGAGGAACCACACTTCCTTCCCGGGATGCACAGAAACTTTGAAAAACTTCTACTTGAAGTTCTTGAAGGACTCAGTATAAACATGGAAAAGTTTACGACCAGGGACACCCCGGATGGTGACCCAACCTTTTCTCTCTGGCGGTTCACGGCCAGTTCGAGGAGTAAGAGGCATAAAGAAATAAAAGAAAACATAGACAGCAGGTGGAAGGGCGAGGTATGCGCAAAAATGCTCGAACGCCTTAACAAAACCCCAAGCATTGGCGTGAAGTTGACTGGGAGTATGTGAAGATGATTTAAGATGTCCATCTGGAACTCGGTGAAAGGAAACTTGATGCCGAGTTGAGTTACAACATCTCGGTACAAGAAGAAGAAATAAGGTTCATCAGAACTTCCCCCGAAACAAACTAGTTCGTCTTCATGTGGAGGGCCTATGTCAAAGTTTTCCAGCTTCCCAACGGGGAGACCAGCCACATCGTCCATACACATCTCGGACGTGGTGTTTAAAACTTCATAAGTTATCCGGAGAAACTGGGATACTAAGGAGGCTGGAGGAGAATCAGAACATGACTCGGCAGAACCTGACTCCTCTACAACCTCTGGGGGGAGATGCCATAAATACCTAAAACAATAAAATAACTTAATCAGAAGGACAAAATGGGCATACCTGAATCAAAAATGCTACTAGATGAAGAATAACTAAAAGACGAAGAAGTCAACTTCTCTGAGATGGTGATTGGGTCATCTGCCTTACCAGATGCCGAGGTAGATCCTGAAACATCTTCATGCCGGCAGCTAGCTGTAACACCTCGTGTATACCCAATTTGTTAACATATCATCGTATTAAGTCACGCTTAATTAAAAATGCGGAATATGTTTTTCTTTTCAATTATGACGTCATTAACAATTCCCAAGTTGATTACTTAATCACTTTCACAAAACATTGCCTGTATGTAAATTGCAAAT